AATGAAATTCAAGAATTTTTACATAAGCAACTAAGTGAAATTTAAAACAGGAGCATCTGTAGTAGGAAGCAAATGTTGGGGGATCTCACTTAATTCTGGTGAATATCTCAAGTCTGGGTATTTTTAATAGACCTGTGTGCATTTATATGTGTTCAAGTGTTATATAGCTTGGACCATGTGTGTGCAAATTGTTCTGCAAACTGTCAGTTATGCAGCTGTCTGACATGCAACTCCTTTTACCCAACAGTTTTGGTAAAGTTAGAGTTTAGAGAGAAAAACTGTCAAGCCATTGAAGTAACAAAGGTTTGCAGTATTAAAGAACCTAGTCAATATTGAGCAAATTGCTCTCAGTCAACTCAAGGGGAAACTGAAGCTTCTTTTAGAAGATGAGATTGTCCTGGTTAATTCACTGACTGATTCTAATCATACCCCTCAGAAACGTATAACGATAAGTAGGAAATTATTCACAGAAATGTAAATATGATAGGACTCTTTTGGACCTCAAATCTACTCTGTTGAGTCTTCACATTCATGCTGATCAAAAGTTGGCCTTAGAAGGTTGATCAGCTAAGCATTACTGAGCTTTCTCTTTAAAGTTAACTGCTGATCCAAAGCAGTCAGACTTTCTCTCGATGTTCCAAGTTCATAAATGTGTGGCCTGCTGAATCATCACTGTGTCCCCTACCCTTATGGCTCTCTCTGCCAACTTCAATGTCCTTTTGGCTACTTGCTGCTGCATCCATCAGATTTTTGCAGCTATGCCACTGGGCTTGACCTTTATGTTAGCTCAGATCCTAACCCAGAAATAACTAAGGGCCTAGACCAGCACCTGACTTAGAGTGAAATAAATATTACTTCTCATTCCACATTCCCTTTGAGCCCTCAGTGACCAGACAAGGTTTAGAGCCACTTCACCTCTATAGAGAAGAGTTGATGTGCAGGCTCCGTAATGTTAAGGATATTGATTCAAGTTAAGGCTCCATTTCATAAAGGTTTCCTGTATCCCACCAACGTTCCATTATTTTCTTCCCATAGCAAGGGACTCAGCAGGAAAATGACTGCTATTTCTGGGGAAATGTTCTCTATTCTGTCTGCTGGGTGGTGGTTGTTTGTAGTCCCCTCTTGGGGCAGGGTACCTAAACAGATTTTGGAGGCCTTTCATACTTTCTTATCCTGAAGAGAGGGTGGAAGACTGGAAGTACCATGGACTGAAGTCACACTCCTCTACTTCCCCTGTCTTCACACTAACCAGCCTTTCTTCATTCTGGGAGCAGTCAGAAACTAATTGTGTGATTTTAGAAGAGAAGAGAGAGGAGTAGGCACTAGCAACTAAGCACAAAGATTTCTCTGCAGACTGGTATAATGAGTAATGACCATCAGACAAGATACACATTGGCAAGTCTGTTACCTGGTTATAGTCTTCTAGAGGTTTTCTCAGAGATTTAAGAATGTGCTTTTTTAGGACAGAACGCGGTAGTCGAGGCTCTCCTTCAAGAGTCTTGCTTACCCATCTTTAGCATCCTAGTTTCCAAATAACTGAGTACCTTACACTTCAGCATCTTAGCAAGTATATTATTGTCCTTCCTTCTTGCAACCCATACACTGCTTTGTATCCCATTAACATGAATGGATCACGAGTCTTGATCTTTTCCCACACGAATTCTGATCACTTGCGTCCTTTCACTTAAGCTGATGGACCCTTAGCCAAGGGATTGCTCTATCCCTGCTCCTATGACATTCTTGATCTCAGATTTAAGGGAGCATGAGAACAGTCTGGCTTTTGATAGTCGTATTTTACTCTAGGATCTTCTGTTGGTTTCCTTTTTCAAATATCAGGTAACTAAAACCTAATCTTGCTCATGTGAAATGATACCCACAAATGATACCCACCTCTGTCAGACCCTTCCTGTGCCCCCTTATTCTGACTTCCCTCTGTCTAGTTTATGGTAATGTGTACACTGCTTCTGTGGGAAATCATAGTGGAAGAATCAAGTCTTCCACTTTGATGTCAAAATAAATGAATTTCTAGCTCATTCCTGCCATTTTAATGCTGGATGTTAGTCTAGATCTTTTACCTGAAGCCTCCTCATCTTTCTGAAGATACAGTCAATAATATTAACCTTATCTGGTGTTTATTGAAGTTGAAATTAGCTAATATGCATATGCCAAATGAATATACATATTAGCCCTCAATATCTCCCTAGGTTGGAGTCATCCCGCTCTTGCTCTCTCCCTTGCTTCTTCCTGCTTTTTCTGCCCCCATTCCTTCCTGTCTTCCAACAAAAGCTATTGAGGAACAGGTCCTGTGCTCCATAGTGAAGACAGAATCCTCAAAGAGCTCAGACTAGTATCAGAGAGAGAGGTACAAGTCAATAACTTTACACCGTAGAGGCTATAAAGAGGAGGCAGGGGCAAGTAAGGCTACAAAGGTTACTTCTTCTATGAGTGGAATCCTATAACCTCTAGGATAGATAGTGGTATCTATAAGGGAAGAAAATATATGTGTGAATATCACATTATCTCTTAACTACCTTTGTGTTCAGGTTCTTCACAGATGTAGTCAGGAGCAATCCATCTATTCCTGATATTTCTTTATATGATAAAGTCAGCATGAAGTGTTATTATTATTATTATTTTGAGTGGTACTGGGATTAAATTTAGGTTCTCATGCTTGCTAGGCAAGGGCTCCACCACTTGGTTAATGTCTCCTAATCCTAAAACACTGCATTTGAACTTTGGTCAAAATATAAAGTTGTTTTCAACATGAGTAACAGGAAGAGAGTTGAAATTTTATGTCAAAGTTAACCTGGGAATTTGAGAATTACCTGTTCCCCCTTGGATCAGTTAGTGTCTTTGTTTTATAGTTTAATCACCTTAAAAGTGCAGTTGATGGCAGTAGTTAAATTGCTTTCAGAATAGAGGTCATTACGTCTGTTATTGTAGTTGGAATGTAAGCTCCTCACCAAACCCCAAGATGAGACATGTCTAGCTCCACGGGATGCTTACTTTTTCTCCCCCAGCATTTTCTCCAGCACAGGGGAGCTTCCTTAGCGCTGGCTTATGGCTCAGAGGTATGTCTACTTCAGGCAGAGGATGGTGTAATCTACAGATGTGAGTGATGTGAATATGATAAGTGTCTTAATTTTCCCTAGAGGAGAAGTGCTTCCATTCTTTGAAGGAAAGATCTGCCTTTAGTGGAAGATTTTATGATTATTTGTGACTAATAGCATATTTCACACTCAAGATTACAGAGTGAAGGAAAGAAAGCTTGACTCATTTAGGAAAAACAGAACGGGCTGGATATGATCATGCTAAATTATAATAATCTTCCTGACTGCTTTCATAGGAATCACAGTACAGTAGTTGGGTCCTACTGTAACGTGGTGAGAGCATAGGCAGAGCAGGAATTATCACTCCAAATTGTAGATGAGACAACTGCCACTCTCCAGAAATGAGGTGTTTTGCCCAAAGTCTGATAGGTAGCATGTCACATAAACACCTCAAAATTCCTTTTTCTAACTTAAATATACTGCTTTTCAACAAAAACCCTATTTATTTTTTCAGGTAAACTGCACAAGTCTCTATAAACCCACATTTGTTTTAATGTGGTTAGATTATTCAACTAACTTAGTCTTATCTCCCTAGATTTACCCTCTCCCAAACTAGTTTCTTTATTTATAAACTGGTAAATTTAACTTAGGTGAAAAACACACATTTGGGGGAAAATACACAAACTGGTGAAGATATAACTGAGTATTATCTTTATGCTAAGTGATACTCCAGCTTCCTGAAATAGTTCTACTAGTGAGAAGGCTCTCGTTGAAGGATTCTATGGCATGAAGTAGGGAATGCACCATAAACCCATTTGGTTCTTAAGCCTAGAGAGAGGAATGGGAGTCAGTACCTTCATCTAAGTTATACGAGAAGAGGAGTAAGAAGGGAAGGTGGGGTTAATAGGCTTCCATCAAGATAACTACATTTAAAAGTTTTATTTAAAAATGAATTAATTTTTATGAGCCAAAGAATTCAGTTTAATGCATTTCCCTGCCCAAAAATGAGAACTAATCAGAACTGAGGTAATTAGTGCTCAAGAGGCCCCTTACTGGCATGAATTGTGTCTAGGAAATAAACCACCCCAACTGACTTATTACATAGCTGCAGTGGAGCTTCTAAGACTTTGTGTAGTCAGAATATGCTGGGTTGCTCACCAGAATTTCAATTTAGAGTGCCTTTCCTCCAGTGGTTCTGAGTGACTTGGTGGAAGTCAGGCAACTGTGCATTAATCCTTGAGGCCATTCTGTTAGCAGTGATCTGAAGACCACTTTCAGGATTTCTAGTGCTGCAATAGTCAATCAAATCATAGATAAAGAAGAAAGAATGATTGTTACCAGGGGTTGGGGAATGGATGGGGAGCTCATGTGTAAGAGGTACAGAATTTTAGTTTGGGCAGATGAAAAAATTCTGGAAGTAAAATGATGGTGATGGTTATATACAAATACAAATGTGCTTAGTACTACTGAACGATATGTTTAAAATTGTTAATATGGTAAATTTTATGTTATGTTAACATATGTTACATCATGTGTATTTATAAACATAAGCATATGTGTACATGTTACCCTAATTGCAAAGAATGTCTAGGGCAAGTAGTATTCTTTAAAAATATTCATGTGTCTTTGCTTTCTTACTAAGTGTTGATAAAGAAAACATATCTCTTTTCTAAATGTCATAATTTGTTCTTGATTATGGATTTATATCAGATAGTAGTTTATTATTTCTTTACTACAGGAGAAAAATAATGGACTAACTAAAAGTATTGATGAAATTTAACTTTAACTTTACCAAGATAAATCTCTGACCAAATTAATGGAAAATTTCCAGCTAGTTACTGATAATTACTCCTGACTGCTTCTCTAAACTGGATTCATGAAGTTTTACCTTACCTTGATTTTGCAAAAAAAAAAATAAAAAATGTGTAGTGATACTCATGCTCTTTTCAGGACAGGGTGTGGGCCAACGTGGGAAAGAGCCTGAACTGCGTTATTGCCATGGTAGATAAATTGATTGAGAGAGATGGTGACAGCAAAGGTGGCAATGGCAGCAGAAGCAATGATGGAGAAAAGGACCCTTCACTAGCAGACTCCAGCACACCTCACCCAAGGGGTAAGGAATCATTTTTTCTCAATCATTGACTGAGTAAACAAAATGAGAAAGTCATGATAAAATGAGATAGAAAAAGAGGAGTCAATAGTGCCTTTGATGAAAGTGCTGATAGCAGCCTTTCCACTGTGGAGTAAATGATGGAAGGCTATTTATCAAATTGCATCTCAGTTATGTTTCCAGAACTGCTTGCAATGCTCATTTTTTTTTCTTTCGCTACATAAAAACCATCCTGAAAGAAAAACAGTGTTTTCTTTTTAAAGTTCTGACATAGTTTAATCTACTTTTACACATTCTTCCAAAATTTTATTAGAAAGACAGACAAGCACTTATTCTTTTTTTTTTTTTACATTTTACTATTTTTTTTTTCTTTTTTTTTTTTTTTTCATTTTTCTTTTATTATTCATATGTGCATACAAGGCTTGGTTCATTTCTCCCCCCTGCCCCCACCCCCTCCCACTCCCCCCCTCAATACCTAGCAGAAACTATTTTGCCCTTATTTCTAATTTTGTTGTAGAGAGAGTATAAGCAATAATAGGAAGGAACAAGGGGTTTTGCTGGTTGAGATAAGGATAGCTATACAGGGCATTGACTCACATTGATTTCCTGTGTTGGGTGTTACCTTCTAGGTTAATTCTTTTTGATCTAACCTTTTCTCTAGTTCCTGGTCCCCTTTTCCTATTGGCCTCAGTTGCTTTAAGGTATCTGCTTTAGTTTCTCTGCGTTAAGGGCAACAAATGCTAGCTAGTTTTTTAGGTGTCTTACCTATCCTCACCCCTCCCTTGTGTGCTCTCGCTTTTATCATGTGCTCATAGTCCAATCCCCTTGTTGTGTTTGCCCTTGATTTAATGTCCACATATGAGGGAGAACATACGATTTTTGGTCTTTTGAGCCAGGCTAACCTCACTCAGAATGATGTTCTCCAATTCCATCCATTTACCAGCGAATGATAACATTTCGCACTTATTCTTAACACTTAGAAACATTTAGGGATATCAAGACATAGCGTCATTCAAAGTTCCTGAGCAGAACACAATATAGTAGAATGCTTTTACCCTTATTCTGATGGATACTTTTTGTGAGTTATCTCAAAAACTTACAAGAAGTTTTGATTCTGAGGATTATGTTTGGGAATTATTCTAAAAGCAAGTCATGACACTAGATTTTCATGCATGCCGGTACGCACAGACACTGCCTTGTGCATACATACACACCGGTATTTGTCTACACAGAGATGGACAGTTAGGTAGATACACCAATACTTTCAAATGTATATCATAGTAGCAGACTGACTAGCAAATGTGATAAAATTGTAACTATGATTGTGTCTTTATAAATGGTTTTTTGTGTGTGTGCTGTTGTTCCTTGGATTCATGATGACACAAAACCCAGTGTTACATTTCCTTATGATAATAGAAACTCCTATTAGATTTGACCTAGCCTTTTAACTAACTATCAGCGCTTAGAAAGAACAACCACGATTTGCTACATTCTTCAGAAATTTGTTGTTTATTTAACTTAATGAAAATGAGTCATAAGTAAGTATGGATGTTTACAAAATTAAACTTATGTTTCCCCATTTGTTTTTCTGATTTCCGCTTACATTTTTATCAGGAGTTTCATTACGTAAGGTATCCATCTTTCTTCACTGGATGGACAATAGAACACTTTCTAGGCAGGCACTCTATTTCTTGAGCACCACCAGCAGCTTAGAGCACTTTCTAAATCACATGTGTAAATAACAGCATTTGAAAATTGTCTTCTTGTAGATGGTCACTCTTCTTTCACTGTACATTCACATAAGTGGAAAGCTTTCATAACTTTTTTTATAGTTACACTTAATTGATCTAACTATAAAGGGATTTTCTTAATTAATAATATCAGTTTTATTAGCTAATAAATCTAGTAGAGTTCTATAACTTTACATGACTCAAAATAAAAGCTTTTCATAGCTATGTCATAAAGAAATAGCATAGTTCAATTTTCTTTAATTGCACATGTATTGACTGTCAACTGAGCCTGTTACTGCTGTGCTCTGGTAAACAAGGAAAGGAACCACAATCCAAGTTAAGTGACATGTTTTATCCATTGACAGATTTTCAAAATGTATTTTTTTAATTGGACAAAAGATAAGGTTACCAGCTATTGCTATATTTTTATTTGATACTCCTCAAACTTCTCATTGAAGAAAGTAAATTTCCAAAAAATTTGAAATTATACAATTTATGTGTATCTTATTTTTGACAGACTATTGTATCTATGTGATAAAAGTTACATTTTAAAAAGTAAAAACATGTGCTATACATTGCGTCTGTAAGATTAGGTGAAGCATCTTTATTTGAATGCGGGGTATTTGTGTGGACAACCTAAGCCATGCAGAAGTGACTGCAGGTGCAGAGTTCACATGTAGGTCACTGTTGCGGATGGTTATAATCCACATATACAACATATTATGCTCTAATCGATTTTAAATTTTTAAGTTGTATTCTATCATCTGTATTTCATCTATTGTTTATTTATTCTTTTGAATGCTATAAAAATTTCTAGATGTTACTATTTAAGTGTATAAAATGAAACAGTACTTTTGTCTGAAACTGTCTCATTTAGCAAATGTCAGATAATTTCAAAGTTGAGCTACTTATTAACATCTTACATGGTAGGCAGCTGCACACAAGATGTATATTTTAGAGGGATATTGGTGTATATAAGAAAGAAAATGCTTAGCAATAGATGCCTGACAAATAAATCTGTACTCACATATTCCTAAGAATATTATAGATGTTATTGTTAGCTACAGTGGGCTTGATTAGCTAAATCAAGTGGTTAATAAAATCCATTTTTATGCTTGAATAATTTAATAATTTATAGCCTTACTCTTTAAATTAGTGGGGAAAGTACTTTCTGTTTCTACCCTGACTTTTGTCATGTTGAGCAATGCAGTAGAGAATTATATAGTGCCTTTTGAACTAAATTAAAATAATCAACCTAAAGTCATTTGTTTGCATGTATAATAACCCAAACTATTTCTAATGTAGATATTTGAGACATGCATTCACTGTCCTCAATTTGCCTGTATTTAAATTTTTAAATATTTTTATTAGGATATATTCATTATACAGGGGGATTCACAGCGACAATTCCAATTAGGCTTATATTGTACATTCATTACATTGTCCTCATCGTCTGTTCCCTCAGCCCCCTTCCTGCCCCACTTAAAGCAATTGCAAGTTTCTTTGTTCTATTTCAAATAAGTATATGAAGTCTACCAACCACACACCCTCACCTTAATCTCCTTCATTCACCATTCCCCCTGCCACTAGTATCCCCCACACACTGTACCTATTTTACAGTCCTGTCTTTCATTATTAATATTTAATTGATGTCCAAAGGGGCTTCTCAATGTGTGCCCACTGTGGGTGTACTTTACTTTGACCCATTTTTATTAACAAAAGTGATAATTTAGAAAAAAGACAAGCAAATAAGATTGCATATGGTTTTTATTTTCTCATTTCAACCAGATATAACCATGGTGGACATTTTGTGTACACACATGCACACATCCACTACACATATATTAAGCAAACAATGTATATTGATACATTATAAATACAGATGTATGCTTTCATTGTGTATGAATATTTTCTCCTAAACATTTTCTGGAAATGAGATGTTAATGATTGTAAACTAATTTAGCAAAAGGGAAAACACTCTTTTAGATATTTAGTTATTATAATAATGCTGAAAGAGTCTGTCTGCCTCTTTCACATGCCGAAGTCTTCAACTACATTTTAGATACTCTCTTTTAAGCTAGATTGTTTAAAAGTGGAATGACTTTGTAAGGAGAGGCTGCCCCTTCTCTCCCATGTGCTTATTTATACAAGTATTCATTTCTATCAGTGTGAGCTCATGAATGGTTATTTTATTCTCTAGATCACAATCCAACACAATAACTGGTTCAGATTCAAATTGTAGTAGACTAGCCATTGGGAGTTTTGGTGTCTGTGTCTTTTTGACATGTTCCTTCCTCATGCTGTTTACTCCTTCACTGTCTGTACTTCTTGCTTTGCTTTCTCACTGTTTGTTTTACTCCCTTCTGTGCCCTTCAGCACCACAAAATATTCTGGATTCATCTTGTATATTCCCTGCTTCAACCCTAGGTTCAGATAGTTTCCAAGGAGCCATGGTTGCTTTTATTAGAGAACAGTGTGTAGAAAGGTTTTCATGGTTCTTTGGAGCAAAAGGTATTATAATTACTATAATCTATAAGTGCCCTTCTAACTACATTCTTTCCAGCCTTAAATATTTTCATGTTACTCTAGGTGAAAAATATTATATTTTCATTTCTGCTTATCTATGAAGTTTGATATTGCATATCTCATAGTATATTTCAAAAATTATTTTAATAATAAAATTCATTTTTTCAATAGCCTCCTGTTTGGCCCCATCACCTAGCATTGTTTGAAAAAGCATTGTTTTTACAATTAATTATCAATTGATTGAGTTGAGTCATCTACTATTTATTATAATTTATCATGATAATGCTGTTGGGTTTTTTTTGATACATTTACTAATGTTCTTTACCTCATGTTCTATCACTTTTGTTTCTTTTATTCTCTTTTCTCTTTTTTTGGGGGGGGTTAATACTCAGGGTCTTGCTCTTGCTAGACAAGCATTTTACCACTTGAAGAATTCCCATAGCCCTTTCTGCTTTAGTTATTTTTCAGGTAGCCTCTCATGTTTTTTTCCTGGGCCAGCCTGGACCCTGATCCTCCTGCTTTTACCCCCTGCATATCTGGGATTACAGGAACACACTACCACTCCAGCTTTTTGTGCTAAGATGGGAATCGCCCTAACTTTTTGCCCAGGCTGACCTTGAACTGCAATCCTCCCAATCTGCACCTTTTGAGTAGCTGGGATTTCAGGCATGAGCCACCAAACCTGGACCTTAGTCTTTTCCTTTATATATATTAAGTTCTATAAACAATTTTGATCAATTTCTTGCA